CTCTACTAAGAGTATCGTTAATCTTCTCTGCAAAAGGTCAAGAGAAAACACTCTCCCTCTGACTCTCCCCCCCTGGGGTTTTTCAGAGAGGCTACAAAACATAGCGTTAAGACCCACTCATAATTACTTACTATATAACTTACAGGTAAAGTGTACATGGTTCCAATGCACAACAAACTAACAGATGATAATCCTTTGACATAATTTCTTTATCATTTGAAGTAGTAAAAAGTTTGACTGATGTTATGGGTCCATCATGTTGGACACTCCATTTTTCTTTAACATCTATAAACACACAAAAACYATGATGTCTGAATAAATGCATAGAGAATGAAAGTGATTGCTTGTTAAGCGATGATATGAAACAATAGTACCACATGATATCCAAGCAGTAATACCAATGACAATGAATGATTGATGATAATAGTCAATTTTCATATCCAATTGCATTACATAGTTTTAGAATTCTTTGCTGACTTTCTAATGTAATGTAAATGATTCCTCTTCTTTTATTTTATAATGAAAATACACAGAGCACTCTAAGTGGTAGTCATAGGAAAATGACACCATCGTGCACATCGCACATCATTATCAGTAATGATAAAGTCAACTCTTGTTATAATTAACCAATCTGATGAATGTAATAAGTGTCCTCAATTACAAGCATTTGATATTGATACTGATATTTTCAGTATTTTTTTGCTTTGCCTTTGGTGTATGGATGGATGGATGTAATATTTTGCATGTCTGTCAAATATCGGTGTGTTTGTAAGAGATGACTAATGTATTTCCTTACTCGTTTCATCCAGTGTATCCACAATTGATAGTTGAACATGACCGTCTTGACATCCAATGGCTGTAAACCTCTTGTCATCAGTTTGCTTTAGGTCCATCCATAATACACTGTGACCACAAGGTATGGTAGTTATGTTTCAATCATTTACAATAAAATTTCACTTGGAAGGCACAGGAAATCATCTTACTTGCTTGGAAGGTTTTGTAATTCAGGAAAATATTCCTCAATATTCTGTTTCTCAAACGTCAGATGACCATCATTCTTAAAAATATTAAAGCAATAGTCAACTTTAGATATTTTAGTTCAATGACTATGTACAAAAGAATGCAACYGAGGCTCCGGGAAAACAATGGAAAATCTTGATTTATTCTTTTATTTCCCCGTAGCCTTGTCTGCAATTCTTTTGTGCATGGTCATTGAACCAAAATCGGCTGTTGCTCCAATGTTACTTTGAATTGGATGAACTACAGCTGTCTCAAATCAAAATACTGTTTAGTAGCTACAAAGAAACCAAATAAAATGCAGCAAGTTGTAAAACACTAATRASAGCCTGATGACAAACCAAGTTTAGAAAYGTATTACACTTTAATTGCCAATCCACATTCCTTACCATCACTTCCAGGTACATGTGTATTTCCTGGTCACTACCAGACAGCAAAAATACATTTTCAGCTTTTTCTTTCTGCTTTATCCTGTGAATATTATTATAAAATGATATCATGAGGTCCTGTGCACAAAGAAAAAACTTTTAATCTAACAATACAATACTAAGTGTCCACCAAATTGTGACTACAAAGTGAAGATAGGTGACTGAATAGTGAATATACCCAAGTTATATATCTGTGTTTTTGATTGTGACAGCCAAATAAGATTCAAGTTTCATCCCTCACATCTTAATTTTTATCTATTTTTATTTTTTATTTTTTTTTCGCTTCTATCACTACATCTTTTCTATCATCATTTCACTTTCCACAATTTTCATGTCCCTTTTTATTCTATTTTATTTCATCAGGTAATTTTCTTTCAATCCAGCAATTCTTTACTCCATTCCACTTTTTTCTTATCCCTTTCAATCCCTTCTTTCATCTGGCCATCTAGTTWCTAGCAATTTAACCATGTTTGAAAGATAATAAAATCAATGAGTAATCGATCATCACTATAAATTGAATACATCAAGAATACATACTGTGCATGGCATAGYTGGAAAGGCACAAAGTCAAGCTCAACATGCTGACATCCCTCTAAAACAATGAAATGAATAAATGCCTGGCAATTACTGCATCTCTTATTATCAATTACCTGCTATACTGTCTAAATTATTTTCTTTTCCTTCCTCCACAGAAGAGTAGATATTAAGAAATTGTTTTTGTCTGTCTGGGGAATTCTAGAAAAYATAAAAGTCTCTTAAAGAATTAAGTCCAAATACAATATCAATCTAGTTTTAAGTTTAATTCAAGGAAAAAAAGTATGTAGCCCTGATAATGTTGTAGAGGTTAAGAGTTCATTGGTCAAGATGAAGAATTGTTCTCAATGTTACCTTACTACAGAGTACAAATGATATGCCAACAACAATACCATTGCAGCCATTCAAAGATGGTCTCATGAATCCATCAATAGAAACTATTTCAGCTTCACCTGAATATAATCAAATCCTTAAGAAATTAATCATGTTATTAGTCGGACTAGCCGAAGGCGGTCCGACTTTAAATTTACCTTTTAGCCTATCTATGTATTATGTCGCGTTTGGACCACCGGAAGTTAAGAATTTAATAATTAACTATTGGGTTGGCTGTGTTATTACATGACCGGAAGCTGAAGCGTATTGATGTACGAATATCGTTAGTAAATGTTATATGCCACTTGGCTTTTATATGACAAAAAAAACTATTCGTTTACAAATGTGGTATCTGTGATCTCATCGGAATGCGTCTGTCTAGGCATTAGAAGTACGCGCATGTGCAGAGTTTCGAGTTGTATGCTTACAAAACTGAATCAATATTCTTTTTAGTGTTAGACAGTCTTGTGGGGGCAAAGATTTCAAATTAGAACAAGAAGAAACTTTGTTTATCAATAACAGAAAGGCGAATTTAATGATTTTATAGGCATCTTTTTCCTTGTAAAGGTTTTATTTTCTTTGCCTGAGAGGTCAAGGTTTTAGATATCATATATCACTTAGCGAGACATTTGTCTGAGTAGTTGATTTTATCAGTCAAAGCAAGCCACGTTCTTATCGCCGCTTTAATTACATGACCTTTTAGGTCAAGTTTATTTAAAGTCTCAATAAATTTTGCATATTTTGAACTAGACGCTCTTATTAGACCGTGAGTTCGGCTGTTTTGGAAAAAAAAGTTAAGAAATATTTTTATCCATGTAATATCCTGTCTTTCTCAATTTTCACAAGCAGCTAGTCCGACTTCACGCTCCCAGAGCGTCTAGTTGTTTGATAGATCGAGTCTACATATGCACTGCACTGAACAGAGCAATCTAAAAGAAAATTACATCTATTGTTTCATATCATTTTGGGGATAACTAAGCAACAGATCTAGGGACAGGAGGGTGCACCAGATGCACCGGCTTCACCCTGTCATGACTTTGCATCTATGGATAATCAGCTTATTTCCCGGCGTATAACTAATCGATGAAAATCGATCATCGGAAAGCTAATCGATAAATCGATATTACTCGATATATCANAACACGAAGCAATTGATCACGCGAACGGAAAGATAACTCCATTGATTCAAACGACCTGTAAACAGTAGATTCACAGAGTTTTACGGACAAAAGATTACAATAAATCACAGCAACACCACCACCAGAACGATCTTTTCGAGGAATATGGAAAATAGAATAACCAGAAGGACAAACATCACGAATTACAAAGTGAGAGTCAGGAGAGTTTTTGAGCCAAGTCTCAGTTACAGCAAAAATATCCAATTTTCGTTCAACAATATAATCCTTGATATAAAGAGATTTGTTATTTAATGATCTTGAGTTAAGAAGACAAAAACGAAGAAAATCAAAGTTAGTAGATATAATAGATGGCGTAGATGATGTACACCGATCAGAGGTACAGTCGGTATCAGGATTGTTGTTGTTATTCAAATGATCAGTTCTTAAAGAACGTCCTGCACGCTTGCTACGAAAACGGAAAATGTTTAAATCTTTTAGTAGTGAAAAACAATCATGAGAGACACAAGGAAAATTCCGACGAATCTTGAAGAGTTCATTACGAGAATATGTGATTCCAGGAGAGCTTTGAAGAATTGAATTGCCGAAGTTTGAGGATGACAAAGTTACAGACGATGAAGACGTGGAATGCGTGATGTGGAGGTCATCGAAGTTGAATGTTGAGACTAAAGGACCAGGATTTGGCTGAATATCCATACAAATAAGAATGTTAGTAGGTGGATCATGACCAGGAATACACAAAGAGGTTGAACCATGCTTGGACGACTTTACAACAGCAACAGATGTACGACAAAAACCACTCGAAGTAAGAATGATCGGCATAAAACCAACGGACAAAATAGAAAGTTCGAATATCTTGCAAAATTGCATACTGAGAGTGACAATAATTTGACATCATACACACAATCACTGTAAATATCATCAGGTCTAGAAATTTGACAATCAGAGCGACAAAAAACAATGAAAATTAAAATAACATACTGAACAAAAAAAGTGGCCGCCATAGGCGCCGTGACGTCATAATGTAACCCAAAACTTATTAAATACATGGCCATACAGATGATCATGAATACCCCGTGCACGTGTAAAACTCTGCAAATGATGTTTTTTGTCACAATACACTTCACTCATATCTTCTATTCTTGATCCACCCTTCCCTAACTCGAAATCAGGCGATGCGAACGTGCTCTCCATCACAGCGATCAAGTGATGAGCTCATCACAGACTCGTAACATGGTATATCTAGGATCTAGTCAGCCCTATTTTTTGGTGAAAATTTTCATCCCTGAGCCCGATTCTCACCAAATGTTTGATCCCTGAGCCCGTGCAAACATTTTGAGCCCATTTAAGTTGTTTGCTCAAGAATTGCTTTGAATCAATTGTTGAATAGTGTTCAAAAGATCTTAGCTAAAACCGAAGAAGGAGGTCTCCTTATACAGTATGACAAAAAATATACATAATAACACAAGTAGTGTCATGGCTCGAATTAGGAGGAATTGAATCAGGGTCTGAATGGGGTTAACTGTTAACTGAGAAACGGCTAAAATAATAACTGTTAACTGAGAATTTCGGGTTTATTTAGCTGATAACTGATATAACAAGATAACTGTTAGCTAATATTCCTTTGTTTGCACATGTTTTGCATGTAAGTGAACCTTGTTTCCAGGGCTTCTCTGTTGTTGTTGTTGTTTCTTTTTTTTCAAAAATGGCGGTCACGTGACACCGACTCTCATTGGATGTTATTTTGGAATAACGCTGAATGCAGGCGCCAAAAAAGATAAGACCCCGAAGACAATTCCTTCGCTTTGCATGTGCTACACTCTGGCAGGTACCACCGCTTCGTGCGAACGATCAAAAATGCCTTTTTTCGTTGTTAAGTCACGCAAAATTTCCATAAAATTAATGCATTATCAGTCTTCTCGATTCTCTCAAAATGCTGGAAATCGCATTTCCGAGGATTAAAACTCCAACATTTTCTGGGGGGAATGCCCCTGTACACCCCTAAAAAGTCGCGCCTTCGGCGCTCATCAGCCTCCCACATAAACAAACGGTTATGGCGCGGTCCCTGTCTGGCTATCACGTGTGATATCAACTTTATGTCACGGCTTTATATAACTACTGATGCATTTTAAAAAGTTGACTTGATCAAAGCCATCTATCATCGTTATGAAAGGCATGGTAAAAGTATTAGTTTGCTACCATAGAAAAGGGGAGGAGGTACACTTAGAGAGTTATCGGATATTTCCAATATTGACTACAGTGTTCAAAGCTCAGTATTAAAGCTGAAGAACCATTTGGGGAATTTTCTTAGCCTGAAAGAACACTGTTAAAACGTACTTTTCTTAATAACTGAATATTTAGTTGTT